ATTTTCACTAATAACAAAGTTACTAATGGTGGACACTTAATTTGGATAACCCTGTATAGAAAGCAACAAATTTCAACTTCTATTAATGACTGCCAATTGTAAGTTTTGGTCAGATATGTTTTGAAGCTAAGAGGAGTAAGACTGGTACATTCCCCTAATTTTTTGGGAAAACAATACCTCTCTGCACGATCCGCCGCTGAACTGTTCTCCGAGTTAATATGTTCCTTTGGAAATAGCGAATATGGAGGAAAACGAATGCAGACAAATTAAAAATTCGCAGAATACGTCGAGTCCGTGACGCGAAGGCGAAGGGCCCCCCATTTGCCATGGCGTTGTTACGGTTCAGGAGATGCCTTCAATGGGGCCCTACTGATGGAATGCGGCCCACGCAAAGAGGAGGGAAGGGGGCGCAGAATTATGAGGAACCGCATACTGGGTGTATTCTGATAATAGCAAGATAGCTCTCGATCAGATGTGGAATGCTGCTGTCTTATGCAAACTTCCATCCTATGACGTCTCAGAGGAGCACGTATTTCTTTATTCAACAAACTAGGCATCAACAGAGAAAATCTCCAAAATAGTCATCCACAGTAAAGTTAGACATACTATAACGCACTGTTATTTATAATTTACATATATGAAAATAAAATGGTATGATATTCAATAACGAGAAATATAAAACATGAAATGGGAATGTGGCTTACTAGACCTTACGTTTTCACATTGCACAAACAAAAATATCAGCAAATTTACCATGGTGTTCAGACTTCTTTGCATAAGTACCAGTGGTGAGTTTTAACCAATATTACGAGTAGTTCGGCAAAACGGAATATTGAAGTATGTACAGTGTCTACGATTCGCTCTTATCGGTACATTCAAATTGATATTTGATAAAATGTAATTGTAATGTTAGAAGCAGTCAGTTTTATGGTTCAAGTATCTGTAAAGAAAACATAAGTTCAATAATACACTTCTCTTAGGCCCGTATCGTCAGTCGTTCCTACAATTGTAGGGCGCCTTTATGGCCTCCTTGATTGTCATAGTTTTCTACTTCTCCGTGTCAGCGCTCTATTTTAAGGTTTTGTCACAAACATCTATTTGCTCAAATTGTGCTTGCTTTTGAGTTATATCATGTTTTATCAGCCTGAAATTTCCTACAATTTAAAAAGAAAACATATCTTCACAATAGGAGAGCGCTTACGCTGACACGGGAAAAGTGTAATCTAGAAATTTTTGATGGAGACAAAGGAGTATGACAATCAAGGAGGCCATAAACGCGCCCTACAATTGTAGGGACGACTGACGATACAGGCCTTAGGGCGCATTTATGGCCTCCTTGATTGTCATACTCTTTTCTCTCCTTCAAAAATTTTTAGATTACACTTGTCCAGTGTCAGCGTCAGCGCTCTCCTATTGTGAAGATATGATTTCTTTTTAAATTGTAGGAAATTTCAGGCTGATAAAACATGACATAACTCAAAAGCAAACACAATTTGATGTAAATAGATGTTTGTGACATAACCTCAAAATAGAGTTCTGACACGGAGAAGTAGAAAACTACGACAATCAAGGAGGCCATAAAGGCGCCCTACAATTGTAGAAGTAAGATTTAGAAATGTTCCATTACCAAGCTATAATCATAATTATGGACGATGACACCCGCCTTATAAGCCATAATTCGCAGGAAATTGTGTTGTACAGACTCAATTCTCCTTATGTGGACTTCGTAGTGTAGATTCCAAATAATAGACGCAAAAGTGCGTTGTACGAGTATAAACACATAATATAGTGATAACAGGGTAGCAGCGTTGTTCAAGTATCTATTATCTCCTAATAAAGCCAAGCGTCTTACTCGTTTTATTTATGGTTTCATCTATTTCGTAGCTAGTATAACACACATTGCAGATGGGTGGCTGACCTGCTCTCTGGACGCAGGATATCCATCGTAATTGACAGGTTCTCCTCTTCATCTCACAATGTCAACAAAAGAGTTCGCCAGGGATCGGTTCTGGGTTTAACATCATTTCTATTACACAATAGTGTTCTCCTCCCAGAAACATTCCATACTTCGTTTTGTTACCACCTCCCAACCAGTTTCAAAATACTCAGAATATCTATGTCCTTTTTTTGTTTCTATTGTCTCATCAACTACAATTCAGAGATAACTATTACAAGTGCCAGGTTTTTCATCACCGATAAACCGTTCGCCAGTCCGTGACAAATTTAGGATAATCCCTGACATACAGGTTTTTGCCAATAAATAGCTTTTATTTGCCTATTCCTATTTGTATAACATTGGAAAATAACCTCTCTTAAACAAGACTTTTAACAGAACTTCAATTTTTCCCCACTTTTTCAAGATTTATGCTAGTGATCATAACAATCAATTTTTCGGGTTCTTATTTTTGTCACTCCGTGACGTCTACCTTCACAAAGTTTACTAACTAAGAAATCCAATTGAACAAATTCGTGACTCCTCAAAACTACGAGAAAAATGTGCTACACTCATTGCAAATAAAGTCATTGCTGTGTCTTTTGCCATTTTTAATCAGTATTAGAGAACATTTTGAAAGATATCGTGAGATTGTAATTTTCATTCATTTATTTTATCGAATAAAAGAGTATTTCTAACAATATTTGATTTAGGAAAACAAAATATATCGATTTTGATTTCTAAAAGCGTAAGATGGATATTTAAGAAAAATTTAAAAAACATATTTTTACTTTCAATTTGTATCGATGAAAGCGCATCAGTCATATTGTGACGTCACACAAATTATAAACAAACAAACATCATCCATATGTCACTCGTGGACTAACGTTGTCTTCTTTGAGTGTTTCAAAAAAACTCCTAATCAACGTAAAAAGCTATCGTTTTCTCGTCTTATTGAAAAAACAATCATGGACGTTGGATTCATAGAAGCAGGAAATTGTCACATTGATGGCTGGTAATTTTTTTGCCTTCAACCCAGATTTTTGCTCTGCTGAGCTGGGGAACATCAAGACTAGTTTTTCCAAAATTGTAAGAAGCAATGAATGAAGGTATACTTTTAAGTGGTACCATTATTCAAATTGTAGAGGGACCAAAAAGTTTGAGTATGCTGTTAGATACATATTTAAGGTTTGAATGTCACACTATGAATAAACACAAATTATGTTATAAATATAAAACACGTCATGTGGGTCTTTATATACGTATCTGTGTTTTACATTCTCGGTTGATACAATAACGGTATTACTATATTTTGCATGTAAACTAGTAGATGCTATGTTTTCATGTTTCAAAGCTTGAGAGGTTGTGCTGCTGTCAGCTGCTGTTTACACATGGTTTGACGTCAGAGTACATTATTCTATTGGCCAGATATGGCGGGGACAGCGTTTTCGCCTGCCAAAAAAAAATATAACATTAAAGTTTTACGGTTTTTTAGGTCTCCAAAAATATAGTATTACTTTTTTAGGACTAATAGAACAAATATAAGCTATTTAAGACCTACTTAATGAAAGTGTCAGCTATCCTATTGCTTAGTAGTTGAGTGTCTGAAAAAAATGGTACCTTTGAAATGGTTCACCCTGTAGATTGTATCGCAACGGAGGTGGGTAGGTAGATCCTCAATTAAAGAATGAATTACCTATGATTTGCCTTTCACTAGACGGTGAATGGCTTAATGACAGATCCTGAAGTGCGCCGGGAACGGGATTTTGAATTAATTATGGCGAACACCGAACACCGAATGTTGAATGTTGAATATGAAAGCGAGGAGGTTTTTCAATGTTTCCCCAAAGTCGAGAGCGTACGCTTTCGGGCACATGAATGTTACATATAGGCTGAAAGGACGGTTTGGGATGTTTTTTATTTGTAGTCATTATATATGGGTTTATAGCTGGAGATTCAATGGATTATAGACATCGTAGAAGCAGTAGAGGTGTATGCAGTTTTATTTACAAAATATGGGGACGGCTATTCATATTGCAACTTCCGCTTCAGTTATTGTTTCCTAGAACTGATTTATTTTATAAAAAATTTACCACATTTTATTTCAAAAGTTAAGTAGCTTAGGAAATAGACCCAAAAATCGCACAATATTTATTAGCTAACTTGATAGTTGTGACGATCCCTGTTCCCTATTTTTTTCAAACATTTGAAATGTACGTTCCAACTGAAACAATAAAGACAGCCACTTATCCAAAACAAATATGTCGTATTTGAGATTCCTATTTACGCCACGTACATCGTTTTACAGCTGTTGCTGGTTGTGGTTATATTTTCAACATTTACATTACGACCTCGGAACGCTAAGCGCTCCTTAACTTCAATGTACATGGACGGTAACGGCTATTTAATTTCTATCGTAAACTCGACAGCCCTTTAATGGTAGCGTCATTAAAGAAAAGACGGAGGCGGCTGTGAAAATGGTCTTATCCAAACAGACCGTTGTAAGATGTGACGGTCACAGTTCAGCTTTTGGCACTCGCTGGAACGGACACGCCTTTAGAACACTATTAAGCTGGGAAATCGACATTATTTAATGAATCTGGAGACTGTCACTGCTTGGGGACGCAACAATCTGGTGGTTTAATGCAGTTTACTGCTTTCAAAATATAATACTGTAAATAGTCGAACAAGAAGCGCCTTCCCGTTTTGATGGATAACCGAGTTCTACCAAAGAGCCGTTTATAGCCGATAGTCGCAATTAAAAGTACTTGACAAGATCTTTCATGAGTTCTTATTTCACTCTTAATGATATATAGTTATATAATATTACTTTAGAATACTCCCAAGATTTAGAGATCTATTTATGTTACAACCCACCTATTCGTAATTTTTCAAGAGATAGCAATATAAAATACTCGATAAGATAGCTTTTACAATTATGTTGAAATGTCTTGAATCGCTCGTTTCTGGACTTAGGCTTATTGCCCACAAATAATAATTCACCATATTTATTTGACTTTTGAACAATGTAATTAGTCACATCCACAGTCCAAATTTTTTCAAAAACCTCAATTGGAGGCTTGTCTGCTAGCTGTTCTTTCACACCAACTGATATGGAATCAAAGGAAAACTCTAAACAATCGATTATGTTATCTTCCCATTTTTGTTCATCGTTGTCTGGATCTAATAGAACATCGATATCATCAGAGCCCTCGCTATCGACATGTCCTGACGGCAAATCAACTTTTGATTTAGGTTCTTTCCGTTTACGCTTTTTTCGTGATGTTCCAGCTAAAATTTACAAACAAACGTAACTAATGTGTATGGGAAAAATGCGCATCAACTTACGCTCATCATTGTTTGGAATATTCTCGTATTCTAAATCAGTACAAGAGTCTGAGTCCTGTTGCATATATTCTGGATCAGCAATGGAGTCATCTGTACTATATGGATCATGTCTGCTTTCATCTTCGCTCTCACACTCTTCATACCAGCGCATCCACTGCTCTCTATATTTATCGTCCATTTTGCTGTAGCTCGAATGCATACATCCGCTCTCGATAACGAATAGACTCATACTGCCAACACGTATACGTATGACTACCGATGTCCGAAGATGTACCCCTCCCCCTCTTAAAAAATATCTACTACACTTATTATTTGGCAGTAGGTGTCCAGCGGGACACCAAACCTTCTTATATACGCAGAATTGACGTGATGTACAGCAAAATGAAGTTAGAGCACTATATGTAGTTGACGGCAAGTGCCGTCACTGTCCCAATAGGCACACTGACTAGTGCGGCTTATAGCGTCAGCGCCTCATTCGGCACACACTAGCCACATAGAGTAGCCGCGCACGTGTTAACATTAAGTTGGAATATATCAGCTATTTTGTGAAATTTCGAGTTGAAATTTTGATCACTTTCTATTTAACAGTAGACTAAAACTTGTAAAAGTATGCTCAAAATTACAGCACTCCTAGTCGGTGTTGAATTTTCCATGTCAGGAAAATGCAATTTATTATTTTAAATTTCAAATATCTACTATCCAAAAATCCTTTAAAATCTTGATAAAATGGATCATTAAAACTAGGCAATACACTTTTGTATAAATTGGACTAATTAATTTAAGTAAACTGTTTTAAACAATCTAGGTTCAAGTAAACTGTTTTAGAGATCGGAGTTCCACTGCGCTAATTGAATTTGTTAGCTATCACATACTTGATTCAATCTTTTAACTGGCCTAATTAAATTTTTAATTGGTTCGATCATTTTTTTCTTGGTGTACTCGACGCCATTTTTTCCGAATGCTTCTCCTTTATGCATAAATAATAAGCGAGTCATCTCGCAAAAATAACCGAAACCACCATTACAATTTTCCAGCCGAGAAAGCTCACCGCCGCACGGGCGACGGCGTCCGAAAAACACATGTGCCCTTTCTTCCCCCCTTCCCGACCTCCTCTCCGACACCCCCTGCCCCGTCGTTACCATGGCAACCGCGGCTTGGTGCGGCGGTGGATCGCGAGCGTTTCTGCGGCGGCGCGTAAAAAACGCGACGCGCGCTCTCACCGAATAATTAATATGGGAAAAATGGCCGCTTTTTGCAGCTCGCCCTCCCCTCGATGTGTTTTAGATTACCGCGGGGGGTGCGGATGAGGTAGGCGAGCGAGAGGGGGGAGCAGGGAGGGTGGAATATGGAAGATGACGGTTATTGTTCTTGGAGATGGCAGGGGATGTGATGTTTATTTTGGAGGTGCGTATATGAGCAGGGGTTATAGGACGGAGAGGGGTTCGGTTTGGTAAGGTATGAGGGAGGTTGTGTGGTTTCTTTTATGCAGAATATTTAAGTGACTTTTAAAAAGAAGCATCATTAGGATTATATTAAACCAGTATTATTATGTATTTATATTAATTTATCTATTGATGGTAATTTACAAAAAGTAATTCCACAGGTCAGATACAAGAAAAATTCATATCATGTATATGACAATATATCACAAAAAACAGTAGTACCAACTAATGACTTATTTCTTAATGAGAGATAATTCTGAAAAATACATTAAAAGCAATAAAAAAATCTATATAACAATAAGACATTTACGCTTACTTTGAATAAAAACACAGAGAAAACGTTAAAATGAATCTAATGACAAAATATATTGCACGTATATGCCTGTATGATGTAAAAACGGTGACCTAACTTATTTTGTTATCGATACAAATCATGCTCGATACAAATCATGCTCCCAATAGTAATGTTTCACCAACTCAATAAGTTGCTTAGATCGTCATAAATAGAATTAAATGAAAAAAAAAATATACTGTGGTCGTTGAAGACCCTTGGATCTCATCAGATTACCTTAAATTTATTTGTATCTCCACCGTATAAAGTTCAATGATCTATTGAAATCGTGGCTCAGTCCGCCTAAAACAGAAGATAAAATCCCTATCAAAACAGATAAAGCTAGACATTGAAACATAATCTCGGCCGGTGTGCTGGATAGAAGAAGGGTAGCAGCGACTTCCTTCCTGACGAAAGATGTGGAGGTAATAACAGCTTAGCGACGGAACAATCTGATACAGTATAACGTTTCCACAGTACTGTATCTTGACTAACAAGAAGCACCCTAGCACTCATCGGGGCTTGATGGACGGCCGAGCTCTACCAAAGAGCCGTTCAAATATACTATGCTGGAAGAAATCGGCAGAGCATGGGTGCATAGTGAGGATTTGTGTGCTAATAATCTGTGTTGACGAGCATTCATTTGGCTTTTTGTTTCAAATACACCTACTTGGGATGTATGCTTCATCATGGAAATCACATATGCAAATTTGCAGAATTTTAAAAATTAGAGAGATAAAAAACCCTGGTTGGTGAAGCAACTGGTGAGAAAATAGGCTACAGACAGGAATATTTATGAAACGTAAAAAGGTTATTACCTACTTTTTACATATACAGCTCCTAGATGTGAAGCACTGCGAAAATGTTTTGTGTGTGATGCGGCATACCTATTTTTCTGTGATGTGACTTAATGACACAAAGTGGGCGTGGTGGTGATTTCCCGTAATGCTTCTCAAAGTTTTTAAATACGCAAAAAACATGGAAAATTGTAATTTATACTTCTGAAAAGACAACACAAACAACCCGTCCAGTAAAGTTAATATACTCCACAGGAAACATATTCAGTAATAATTTTCTCACATAGCAAGTAACACTGATTTGTACACAATCAACACGCAATCATCCAGATGCGATCTTGCTGTTGATTTTATATCTTTTATATCTTCTCAGCGATACTCTACAGACTATATCGGTATTCTGCAACCAACAAAGCACGCTAACATGTCGTTAAGTCATTCCTCCACAGATGACGCTAGGGTGATGCGCACAACGCTCTCAGCGAGCAATAGCGGAATGAACTATTTGTACACTAGCAACTATATGGTCAGAAAGTTGACATTTTGTAGGTTTTTCTACATTTCATAGGTTTTTTTAAGTAATAACTGCGGATTTTACTATAAATAAAAAGTTGATCCGGTCAAAATTGACGAGTCAGAAGGCGTTATCACTGGTGGAATTACAGATCAAATTTTGAACAATAGATTGAGAGAGAGTTATTGAAGCGTTCGGACGAATAACGGTCTATGTCACAAATTATCAAAAATCGAGTTTTGGTGTGAATAACGGTCTATGAAGTGTGTAGATTCCATTAAATATTATAGTTTGTTGATATAACAATAGATGGGGCGAGTTTGCCAATATGGCGACTGTGAAAATAAATTTTCACGTTGGAACAACCGGTCTATGTGACATCAACTTACGTGACATCAACTTAATAGTAAATGTGCAGACTTTTATGTTTGTTTTTTATTATAGTTTTCTGTTCTTTTCTTTATTTACAAAATATCTACTTGTAGAACTAGAATAGGTAGATGATAATTTTGTTTCATAAAATTATTTCAAAAAACGATTTGTGGAATAAGGGTCTATGTTAAATTTTCACTCATAAAATTTCAAGAAATGCATCAGATGTTAAAACTCACCTTTTCTCGAAAATGTCAACTTATAACATAGACCATTATTTGTCGGAACGCTTCAATTACTGAGAATTTTATTGAAAAGAACCTAATTAGCAACCTATACTTTTTCCAAATTTCTCATGTGTTCATGTTTGTTCTAAATTTGGTTCTATTATTTACAATGTGAAATTTTGATCCCTAAATCGAATGAAAAAATAGCTTTTGGTTGGTAACCAGGTGATTTATAAAGAATTTCTTTTTAGGCAAATCGTAAGATGTTCTGTTAGTTTCAGAGCTTTTGATCCGCGGATCAATTCATCGAGATCCAAATAACAAATCTAGTCCCATAGTTGTAGTGGAGTGCCATTCTATCATATCAAGATGTGTCTCCAATTAATCTAATGAGACACCGATAACGTAAGGCCGACTGACACAATAGTCCAACAGTAACAGCAAAAGCCATTATTAAAATATAAAAGGCAATTCAGAAAGTCGTTTGCATCCGGTCTCAATAAAAATCTCGCTTTTTCTTGATACAGGGTTGGCGTTAAAAGAATAGACGGAGGGTCCATTTCCGAGAAATCGAAAAGGTTTCCAACTGTTATAAAACATGCTATAGTAAATTTCTCAAAAATCGGTGCGAATCTGCGCACTGAAGAACATTTGTTTCCTGTTTGGTGAATATGGTGCGTAGATTCAGAATGCAATGCCAATTGATACATTCTCTAGTCTAAATTTAGTGTTTCGAATTTTTTTTTAATATTCATATTTGAATTTAGCATTCTAAATAATCTTTGAAAGTATGCAGTTTCAAACATATAACAAAAATGTATTATTTGTATTGAGAGACCCGTAAAGATTCACTATCTACGTACATTTTGAAAATTTCTTGTGTATTTGGAGCTTTGCCCAAAACCAGCTTGTAGGCTAAATGTGGTGAGCAGATCTCGAATCTGATTCCAGTGTTTCGCTGAGGAATACCTCAAAAGTTCTTTTCTAGTATTTTCAGGTGGAGATATTGAAGATCAGTGTCTCAAATTTTGATAAGCATACCGCTTTCGCACCTCCGACCACAGACTTGCAATCACAGACTGCTGTTCCGTGCTCTTTAGCAACTCATCAACATGGTCTCTTCGTGGTCTGTGGGACAACGAACCAAAGCATAGCAACTTTATTCTATCCGAAATGTGAGATCTACAAGATGGCACACGGCGGCATCTCTAACCAGGACCAATCACTGCAAAGTGTATAGCAGCTATCGGTTGGAACTGTAAGAATCCTAGTTCGGTTTTGATAGCCCAGTCACTACTGTGACCGCTAGAGGCTGACGATTCTGGCGGTATACTAGAAGTGATCTAGTCGCCATCGAGTCTCATACCAGTTGCTATGCTTTTTTTGTTGTCACAGAGACCAAGTCTAAACCATGCTGACGAGTTTCCAAAAAGCACGAAACAGCTGTTTATGTTTGTCTGACGGCGGCCGGACGGACGAAAGCAGTATGTTTAAATGTTCAATGACCAGATCTACTATACCGCCGGATGCGTTAACTCCAAGCGGACACATTAGTTAGCCCGAGTGGCACAAGTATATTGCCCCAAACTAGCAATAATATT